CCTCATCCAGGCAGTGATCCACCTGGTCCCAACTGTACTCTCTTGTCTATCTTCTTTAATCCTTCACCATCCCTCCTCAGGTTCATCCCAGGCCATGCTGGACGTGGGTCAGTTTAACAAGAGGAAGACAACCCAATTTAAAATGGCCAAAGTACCTAAATAGACACTTCTCCAAAGGAGACATACAGATGACCAAGAGTAATATGAAAAAATGCTCAAAGTCATTGATCAATTTGTATCAAAGAGATAAAAATTAAAATGGCAATGAGGTGTCACCTCTCACCTGTTGGAATGGCTCATGGCCATTTCAACAAATCAACAAATGAAAAGAGCGGGTGAGGATGTGGAGAAAAGGGAACCCTAGCTCACTGCTGCTGGGAATGCAGACTTGTGCAGCCAATATGGAAAACAGTATGGAATTTCCTCAAAGATTTAAATAAGGAAATGCCATTTGACCCAGTAATCACACTTCTAGGATTATATCCTAAGAAACCCAAAACACTAATCAGAAAGAATGTATGCACCACTATGTTCATAGCAGAACAATTTACAATAGCTGAGATCTGGAAACAGCCCAAGTGCCCATTAGTAGATGAGTGGATTAAAAAGCTGTGGTACAATTACACTATGGAATACTATGCAACAGAGAAAATGAAGGATCCCTTACCCTTTGAGATAGCATGGAGGGGCCTGGAGAGTATTATGCTAAGTGAAATAAGCCAGTTAGAAAAAGACAAGTATCTTATAATCTCACTCATATGTGGAATCTAATGAACAAAATAAGTAAACTGATGAACAAATAGATCTAGAGACACAGAAACATGGAACAGACTGTGGAATCTCAGAGGGAAGGCAGGGGAGGGTGGGAGGATAGGAACAGATCAATCAAAGAATTGTAAGCATAGATGCATAAACCATCTACACAGACAATAGTGTGATGAAGGCCTGGGGTGGGAGGAGGGAGGAGGCTAGAAGAGGTCAATGGGGGAAAAGGGGGGGCATTCAACAATAAAGATGTTTAAAAAAGGGAACTTTCAACAATAAAGATGTATAAAGAATAAATAAGTAAAATAAGATTAAAAATAAAATAAAACATTCAGGCCTAAAACTAGAGGTGCCAGAAAGTCCATTGAAAGAGTTCCAGTTTTGACAGTCTATTTAAAATATAAAGAGCATTAGCCTGGCTGGCATGGCTCAGTGGTTTAGTACCAACCTATAAACCAGGAGGTCATAGTTCGATTTTCGGTCAGGGCAAATGCCCAGGTTGCAAGATCAATCCCCGGTAGGAGGCATGCAAGAAGCAGCTGGTCAATGATTCCCTCTCATCATTGATATATCTATCTCTCCTTCTTCCTTTCTCTCTGAAATCAATATAGATATATTTAAAACAATACAGAATATCCTGGGTTTTATGAGTTGACAAAATAAAATGATGCAAATAACGTGCCTACATCAAATAATAAACATACCCATTTTCTCACTTGAATATGCTGCATCTCCCTCCACTGTGTGGTGGATAAATGCTGTCATCTACTCACCCCACTGTGGAATCAACATCTTCCCTACTAAGTGGGCAGAATGTGACAGTGACCAATCTCTGCCTCTGCTCCATCGCCCACCCTTAGCTCACTGCTCTTGTTCCTTGTAGCCTAGTCTTCTTTTTCCTTTCTTTCATCTTTCCAGTTTTCAAAGTTCTAGGTAACTAACAAATGAAAGGAAATATTAAGATCCCTCTGAGTTTAAGGAATTATTCTCGACAGTTTGTTTTAGCTACAGCCAAGTCCTTCTCTATGTGTTCCTTCACTGCTTCTGAATGGATTGGTTAATGAAGATGAATAATGAAGATGAAGTAATATAGGGCATGAAGAATGTGACAAAGGAAAAAGAATTGCTCTAAGTGCATAAAGAAGAAGAGAGAACTTCCTTTAAAAAAAAAACACAGCTAAAACCAGTCCCAAATACAGAATCAGGGTCCTGCAGATATAAGAGCCTCAACCAGCAACATCTTGTGAATGACTCTGGAGGAGGAGGATGCTACCAGTTAGAGTAGTCAACCCCACTGCTCTGAATTGGATGACAGCACTGGATTTGCTTATTAGTAAGTTGAGGCAGGCCCCAGAACTTCTCTAGTTTTCTATGCTATTTATTTACCACCTTTCCTCCATACCCACTTTATGAAGCTCCCAAAGCTGATGGGAAATGTGGGTGAGACCAGACTCAAGGGCAGCCACTCTCTAGATGGGCCAGAAGCTGATAAGGCTCTGGAACAGGGAAAATGACTGCTGACTGGCCTGGAAAGTTTCTTCTCCCCCTGACATCTGAAGGGAGGTATCAGATGAAGACTAGAAAGTTGGTGATGGTAAAGGAAGGTGACAAGGAAAGTAAGCAAGAAGCTCAAAGCTTACAGCTCTAGGTAAGAAAAGCTATCAGTGAGAAGACATAAATAGGATGAAAAATAAGAATGTAAAAAGGAAGGATGAGCTAGTTGGCTATCAGGGAAAGAACCACAGGGAGAGGAACCAAGTAACGATAACTGGCAGAAGGGCTAACTGATTTGTTCCTGAGAGGGCAGCATGTTGACTCAGTCTTTGAAGACATACTGAATCCTTCCACTTCCTCAACAACCTACTGTTCCACTTTCTGTGAGGCCCACTTATGTACCTGCTCCCATGAGATTCCCATCACTGTTACTGTCGTGTGTAGTTTAAAGTAAAGCTCCCTCAACTGGAAGTACACAGAGAGCAGTTTGGTCCTTGCAACCAAAGGAAAGAAAACCTATTTTTAAAGTACTATGGCGTGCCTAGTCAAGGTGGCTCAGTGCTTGAGCATCAACCTATGAATGAGGAAATCACGGTTCTACTCCTGGTCAAGGCACATGTCCAGGTTGTGGGCTCCATCCCTGGTGTGGGGTGTGTAGAAGGCAGCTGATAAATGATTCTCATCACTGATGTGTCTATCTCTCTCTCCCATTCCCTTCCTCTCTGTAATCAATGAAAAATTTAAATAGATAGATAGATAGATAGATAGAGTACTATGGAGTGAAATGTGTTTGGGAATATGAGTGAATTCACATTTAGCCACCTTCCAAATGAAACAGGCAGAAATATAGAACTTTGTTAGGTACCATCATGACTGGCACATGTAAATAACTCACTTCAACTAAGCCATGCCTTCTATCTACGTTCCATCCAGGAAAAGAGAACTGAAAAGTGATGAAAATTACTGGTTGCTAATGTAAAGAGTCAAAGGTCAGATTTTAGAGTTATATTTTGGAGCTCAATAATATTTTTATCTAAATTAGTATTAAGAACTGCCAAATCAAAGAACCAAGATTGCAGCGTAGGCAAATACCTGTACTTGCTGCCTCCAACAACCACATCAAAATTTCAGCTCAATACAGAACAACCATCATCCAGAACCACCAGAAAGCTGGCCAAATGGAAGTCCTACAACTAGAGAAGTGAATAAGAAAGCGCATGGAGACTGGAAGGAGGTGCAGAGGCACAGAACATGCTAGTCTGGCACCCACCTGTGCCGTTTTCTTAATCAGGAGAGAGATCATCTCTGTAAGGCCACCTATGAGGAGCAAGGGGTCCCAGCACCACACAAATGCCTGGCTCAGGGTCTCAGAGCTGGGAAGAAAAGTCCCTGTGACTACAGGCTGTAAAAACCAGTGCAGATTGGGGCCCAGTGACACAGAGGCTGCTGGAGACCAAGCTGTTCCTCTTAAAAGGCCAGCACAGGAACTGATCATACAAGGTCCCACTTCTCTGAACTCCAGCACTAGGGCAAGGCTCTGGGGGACACAGATACATATGAGGAGTAAATGGATTGTCTGGCATCAGGGCAGGAACTTGGGAGCAGCTTTCTCCCAGACAGAGGTGCTTGCAGGGGTCATTGTTCCTGAGCTGGGAACTCCCCAGTCATGAGGCTGACTGGCAGCCATTTCTGTTTGTTCTGCACTGGGGATTCCTTGAGATCCTGCCTCATCCAATTTACAATCCCAGCCAAACTATGTGCAGTGGCTTTTGCATATAAATGGCCTATCCTTTCTCAGGTTAAAATCTCTCAAACAATCTGCAGCTGTGTCAGGGGGCCACAAACCTATCAATAAAAGGGCCAAGACCCAACACCAGCACCAGCCTGCCTTGCTTCATAGGTGTACCTCGTCTGGGTACTTTCAAACCTGATACAAAGAGGAGGAATCTGCAGATCTCTCTGTAGCTCCCGATGGATGGCCCCTTTGCACCTCCCTGGAGACCCAAGGGCCAGTTTACACAGTGGTCAGTGTCAGACCATACCAGATTCCAACTCTACACATCCATAAGTGACACACTCAAGGGCAGACTCAGTGAGCACCAAAGCCCTACTAAAGCAAGTCCTGCTCATAGGGGTGTTTCCTGCATAGCAGCTCTCCCACTGTAGTGGCAGCTGGTCCTCATAGCCAATTGGCCTGGAGGTCAATTCATCCCAGGGACACCAACAACAATCAAGTCTCAACTACAACAAGACTGGGCTGTGTGCACAAGATTGTGCACACGGCCCACAAAGGGATGCACCTAGAATTCCCAGCTCAGGTGACTGGGGAGGCTGAGCCATTGGGTCCTATAGAACACCTTCTACACAAGGCCACTCTACCTACTCAAGAAGACATAGCAGCTATACCCAATACATAGAAACAAACACAGGGAAGCAGCCAAAATGCAGAGACAGAGACAAAGAAATAGGTCACAAATGAAATAAATGGAAGAAAGCAAACTACTGGATATACAGTTCAAAGCCATGGTTATAAGGTTACTCAAGAATCTTCTAGAAACCTCCAAGGGACTTAGTGAGGCTTTCAAGGATGTTAGTGAGAAATAAATAAATAAATAAATAAATAAATGGAAAAGGACCAGTCAGAAATTAAGCATACACTGACTGAAATAAAGAATAATATACAGGGATTCAGCAGTAGACTAGAGGATCCTGAGAATCAAATCATTTACTTGAAATATGAAGCCGGCGCCATGTCTGTGAGCGAGATCTTCGTGGAGCTGCAGGGCTTTCTGGCTGCCGAGCAGGACATCCGGGAGGAAATCCGAAAAGTAGTGCAGAGTTTAGAACAAACAGCCCGGGAGATTTTAACTCTACTGCAAGGGGTCCATCAAGGTGCTGGGTTTCAGGACATTCCAAAGAGGTGTTTGAAAGCTCGAGAACATTTTGGTACCGTGAAAACACATCTAATGTCTTTGAAGACCAAGTTCCCTGCTGAACAGTATTATAAATTTCATGAGCACTGGAGGTTTGTGTTGCAGCGGCTGGTCTTCCTGGCGGCCTTTGTTGTGTACTTGGAATCAGAAACACTAGTGACTTGAGAAGCAGTCACAGAAATTCTTGGCACTGAGCCAGATCGGGAGAAAGGATTTCATCTGGATGTAGAAGATTATCTCTCAGGAGTTCTAATTCTTGCTAGTGAACTGTCGAGGCTGTCTGTCAACAGTGTGACTGCTGGAGACTACTCCCGGCCCCTTCACATCTCCACCTTCATCAATGAGCTGGATTCCGGGTTCAGCCTCCTCAACCTGAAAAACGACTCCCTGAGGAAGCGCTACCATGGCTTGAAGTACGACGTGAAGAGAGTGGAGGAGGTAGTCTATGATCTCTCCATCCGAGGCTTCAATAAGGAGACAGCAGCAGCTTGTGTGGAGAAATAGGAGACTCTCCTCGGGCCTGGCCTTGCTGACCTCAGTGGTTGCCAGCGAGGCTGAGCGCAGGGCCTCTCACTGTAGTTACGGTGCCCTGTCGCTAAGCACCGCGAGTTATTTTCTTAGCCAGTTGTGTGGTATGTGTATCAGAATCGGAACACTTCTTTGGGGGTTAAAGATTAGCCTTTACAAGGACAGGGTTTTTTTTGTTGTTGTTGTTTTAGTGAATTTGCTCTGTAATTCAGTTCTGTCAAAAGTACAAATGTCAGTCTCTTGGTAAAGTTTATTTCCTGCTTACCCTGATGCTGTTGATGTCCTGATTGAGAAGTTTATTGTCTTGTGATCCTCGGTATTTTCTATATCCAAAGTAGCCCCCATACACAGGTATGCAAACAGATAATTAAAAAGGATGATTGCTAACCAAAGGACACTTATTTGAAGAAGAGCAAAAAGAAATAAGAATCCAAAAATATGAAGATAATGTAAGGAGCCTCTGGGACAACTTAAAGCATAACAAGATCCTCATTATCGGGGTGCCAGAAGAAGAGAGAGTGCAAGATATTGAAAGCCTCTTTAGAGAAATAATGACAGAAAACTTCCCCTCCCTGGTGAAAAAAAAAGACTTACAAGTCCAGGAAGCAAAGAACCCCCCAAAAAAGGAACCCAAAGAGGATCACATCAAGACACATCATTATTAAAATGCCAAGGGCTAAAGACAAAGAGAATCTTAAAAGCAGCAAGAGAAAAGTAGTTAGTTACTTACAAAGGAGGACCATATAACTGTTAGCTGATTTCTCAATGGAAACTATGCAGGCCAGAAGGGAGTGGCAAGAAATATTCAAAGTGATGAATAGCAAGGACCTACAATCAAGATTACTGTACCCAACAAAGCTATCTATATATATAAAACTCTATTATGCAAAGAGACTGAACAGTGGAACAACTGAACAACAGGTCACTATGATGTGAGCTGACCACAAGGGAGCACATGTGGAACATGGCAGGCATTGGCAGCAGGCGGCAAAGTGTCGAACATGGTGGGTGTCGGCTGCAACGGACGTTGGAGCAGGTGAGCAGGGGCGCCAGACCAAGGCGGGCACCAGTTGCTGTTGTCGGGGCAAGCCTCTGGTGGTTACTGAAAATTCTTTGCTTCCATGAGCCAAGGTCCCACCTAGCACTCACAACTGCTGCTGGAGCTGGCCCCACTAACACCTGCTGCTGGTGCCAGGTGCCAGCCCCAATTGCTCAGCACCATCAATGGGTGCAAGCAGTGGCTGCCAGCCCCAATCGCCCTTCAGGGCTTCTCTACCTCCCCCAACTCCTGAGGGGCCATTGGGGCAGAAGCCGCTGCTTGCACCTCCTGACAGCGCCGGCCCCACTCGGCCCACACCATCATCGCATGGGAGAGGCAGTGGCAGGAACGGGACTGCTGGCAGAGATGGGACTAGGGGCCATGGTAGGAGGGGCCAGGCAGGGGCGTGGAGGATGGGCCTAGACCTGCCATTATGTCCACTGCAGCCTCATGGCCCACAGTTCCTTTCAAGGTGCAAGAATTCATGCACTGGGCCCCTAGTCATTTAGAATTGAAGGTCAGATAAAGAGCTTCACAGACAAGAAAAAGCTAAAGGAATTCATTGCCACCAAACCAGTATTACATGAAATGTTGAAGGGTATTCTTTAAGAATAGGGAGAAGAAGAAAAAGATCAAAATATGAACAATAAAATGGCAACAAATACATATCTATCAACAATTGAATCTAAAAATCAAAATAATCGAACAAGAAATCTAATGAACAGAATAAAGTGGTGAATAAAATAGAATCAGAGGCATGAAAATGGAACAGACTGATGATGCCTAAAGGGAAGGGGTGGGTGGGAAGAGATTAAAAAAAGATCTTATATGCATATATGCATTACCTATGGACATAGAAATTAGGGTGGCAAAGGCCAGGGGCGGGATGGGAACTGGGTGGAGGGGGCTATGGGGGTGGGGAGGGGAAAGAGGGACATCTGTAATAATCTCAACAATAAAGATTAAAAGAGAGAAAGAAAAAAAATAGAACTGCCAAGTCACTCCTGTTCTATCCTAATTACATATAAAGAACAGTTTCTGAGTTCTAATTCTGAGGCACAAGTAACATCACATTTGCTGAGCCTATTCTGAAAAAAAAAGGATATATAAAGAACAGTGATTCAAAGGGACACAGGTCAGCTGTGGTCCCTCTAATATAATAAAACCAAACAGCACAGAAGTTAATTTTGCCTGAGTTAATCCTCTCCAATAAGCATCTGACCTATGTAACAGAAGAATGACTGTAATGTATCTGCTGCCATCATGGGCCTAAGGCATCAACAGCCACATCTACATAGTTTTAAAACCACAAAGCCTTAAGCATTTCATATGAGCTCACTTGCAATGTTTTGATTTGTTCTTCTCTCCCTGAAACACTTGACACATGACATAAATATAATTCTAGTTTGTGAATTTTCAGAAATACTTTTTCTGTTGATACTAGATTCCCCTCTCTTCAACAATGGACAAGACAATATCACTGAAATTTTTTTATCTCTAATTCTCATCATTCTAATATATCTGATATGTGGTCAAAATTTTTTTGACTTCTAGTAGGTTGATTTGCATCAAAACATGATTATAGTCTTTATGCATATATGCATTACCTATGGACATAGAAAATAGGGTGGCAATGACTTTAAAAAAATTAACAAGTATGTAAATATCCTATATAAATAATAAGCTTAACTTGATCGAGTTTAGTTTATTGTAATCTTCTGTATGCTCTGATGTTTTTATTGTTCTCAGCCTCTAATTTCATTTTATAAAATTTAAATGCTCCCATTAAAAATATCCAACACAGTTAAGACCAGAAAAAAAACGAAAGTTAAAATCTTACTCCATAAAGTAACAAGTAAGGCCACAAATTTAAACTTGGAAATAATGTAAATGATCAAGTTAAACTTCTCAGAGGAACATTAACTTAATCTTAAAAAGATAACTTAGATTTTTTTTAACTATCTGAGGATTTTATTGCATGTAAGTTGAGACACATTCATTAGGCTTTTCCAAAACAGAGCATCTGTAATGAGTAAAAGTTATTCTGGAAAAATTTACAATTTTTACTTCCTGTTTCAAATGCTCAAATTTGCAACCTTAATGTTACACATACTCAGCTTCACAGACTCTATAAGAAACACACATCCATTTTCCTACTTTATAGCCGCATCTACAGAGCAACGTTCTTGTACCTTTGCTCTTCTTACCCTTCAACTGAAGGCAGGGGTGCCTCTGAACTCTGGCATCAGGCAGGTTGATGTGAAAAGTTAATTTAGAATATTCTCATCATGTCAATAAAATGGGTTAAATTCTTAATTTACACATGGCATGTTTAAGTATGATAAATAACAAATAACCTAGGGAATTTTCATAATTTCTCTTTATTTTTCATGTGAGAACAGTACATTTGTAATTTTATGGTTTCAAAGGCTTCTCAGGGATGTTGGCAATGGAGAAAGGGGGAGAGCAAGGTCAAGGGGGCTGGCAGCTAGACAATGCCTGTTTCCACTTGAGTCAGCATCTCCAGATCTATTGGCAACTGTACAGTACATCCTTCTTTGTTAGACATGAAAAGCATGGGCAGTATGGCAATAAAAGGGAGGGCAAACCAGATAATGAAGGGAAAAAATAACAAAGATCTGACCATCAGTGAGTGATACCTAATACTACATAATGCTGTATGGGTCCTGTAGCTCACATACTGTTCTCAGGCATTCACGGGGAGCAACATAATCAGAAGTTCCATTTTCCAGAACCAGACAAATGGTGATTAGAAGATTCAACAAAAATAGAATATGTATCAACACTCATAATGTGATGCTCCTGATAGCTACCAAATGAAGGCAATTCTGCTTTATAAGCCTTAATTGTATTTTAGGAATTTATGAGGCATGAACTGAGAAAATTTTAGTGACAAAACCACTCTGATTTTATAAACACATAAAGATAGGTAAATTTTAATTAAGGACTGTTTCAATCCTATATAACAAAAGCCTAATATTCTAAGTGTCAGATCATCTGGTCGTCTGTTCAACTAATCAAAGCGCAATATGCTAATAATATACTGATGCTGTAAAACCACTTGCTATGATGTGCACTGACTACCAGGGGGCAGACAGTTGACTGGTCAACCAGTTTCAATGACTGCACTGACAGGGGGCAGATGCTTTGACTGGTAGGTTAGCTTGCTGCTGGGGCCCGGCCATTCGGGACTGAGCAAGATGGGCCAGACACACCCTGGAGCCCTCCTGAGGTTCCTCCCCAGCTGGCCAACCACTCGCATCCCTCCCCAGCCCCGATTGTGCACCAATGGGTTCCCTCAGCCTGGCCTGCACCCTCTTCCAATCCGGGACTCCTCAGGGGATGTCAGAGAGCTGGTTTCAGCCCGATCCCGCAGGCCAGGTGGAGGGGCCCCACTGGTACAGGAATTCATGCACCGGACCCGTAGTTGTTTAGTAAGCATTAATTAAAGGGATACAAAGCATATTTAACAGAATTGAACTCCATGATCAGTCAGCAAAAGCTGAAGTTCAAATATAAAGATAAAATGTATTTGAATGTACTGTGCAAGTCATATGAAAAATTATTTGATTATTTGAATTTGTTCAATTGAAAAAGTATTAGAATTGAACAATTCAAGGCTTGTATAAATTTTTAGAAAAACAAAGTTCACCTAAAGCAATGCAGAAAGACTGATATTTTATTTGATTAACTTGTAATTTTTGATTATTTTTATGAATATTTAAGAGTTTGCTTTATTTCATAACATAAAAAAGAGTTTTTTAAGGGAGACTAATAAAAACCAGATTGTAGGTAACATCTTTAGGCACTCACTATTCAAAGCACCTATCTCTATATATGTATTAAAAATAACTTATACAGTCTGGCTGCTGAGGCTCAGTGGTTGAGCTTCAACCTATGAACCAGGACACAGTTTGATTCCTGGTCAGGGCACATGACCAGGTTGCAGGCTCAATCCCCAGTGGGGGGCCCAGGAGGTAGTCTATCAATGATTCTTGCTCATCATTGATATCTCCATCTCTCTGAAATAAATAAAAATATAGTTTAAAAAAATAACATACAAAAGCCTGTCAACTGATACTTGGCAGATTAATACAAAATTTAGAAACAATAAGTTGATTCCACACTTAGTAACAATTAATTTTAAAAATAACAAAAGCCTAAATTTTAAAACACAATGTTTTTATTACAGTGTAATGCTTTTCAATAAAAATGTTTCAAAGTCAAGTATCAGAGGACACTGCTCCTTAATTAGCAAAAATGACAGATTTTGAATTTTAATCTGGGCATTAAGGCCTATAATCAGTCCAGTCTGCAAGAAGAGCAAGTGAGAAG